CAATGGTGAACACTTAGAATAACATTTATTTAACACTTAGCAACTTCTCAAAATATTACAAACTTTGAACATTAGTTATATTGGTATACTACTTATATACTTGTATTAAACACTGTTATTTAGATACATTTACTATCTTCTATAATTCTATACTAGCTGAGTAAGAGAGAGAGATTATACTTACAGTAGAGTTGGGTTGTTGGAAGTCTTATCCACATTTGTCATCTTCATTGTCTGCTTTTCTCGGAACTCTTCAGAGCCTGAAAGACTGACTTTTCAGTCTCTGACATGGGTTTTTAAGCTAACTTTTCTTGGTATTATCTTGATCTACTAAAAAGGACACAGCATCACCCACAAGTAGTCCTGTGCTCCTATTTGATACTTTAGGGGAATTCCTGGGCTAAATCAAAACCATAATCAAAACTCTCAATTAATTAGTTATAGATAAGTGGTGTTACCCAGCCACCTATTCACTTGTACTGCTATACCCATGTGCTGTAACTTATATTACCTCAAAGTGCCGATATGATTCACCAAAACCAAACTTTTCTATAGCTTTCCTAGTTCTAAGATGTTGAGGTCAGTAATCCATCAACCTGTCATAAGTACTAGTGCACTCATCTTGTTTCTATGCAACGTTTTTTACGTAACTATGCTTCTGACCTTGGTTACTAGTTTCCAAGCTCGTTTCACAAGCTTATCTCATAATACATGTGTCTTTTTGCTTGTTTCTAGGCAACACTTCTTACATAACTAGGCTCCTTACCTTGTTTATTAGTTCTCAAGCTTATTTCATAACACAGGAGTCTTCTTGTCATCTTTTTTTATATATATCCTTGGTACAAAAACTTTTAAGTTTTATTCTGTGCATTTTCAACTAAAAAACCGTGAAGTAATTGTAAAATTTCCTCAAACATTTTCAAGTTGCTTCACATGCAACTATTCTGCATGTACTGTAGCATTCTTGTTAACTGAATGTTGAAAGGTCATAAACATGTACTAATCTTTGTATTCAGGTTGCAAACAGCAACAGGTAGCAACTAGCATCACTTTGGCCCTTTGTCTGTGTTCACTTCCTGGGGCATAGATATTTGTAGAAGTTACTATGAGTTTGGGATTTTCTCTCTTTCTCCTATACATATTTCTTTGAAACTGAATTTGGTGTGATAGATTAGAGTTCTATTTGTACTTACCCTGTGCAGATGTGGGTTTAAATTAATCTTGCCTTTCACTGCAGATGGGGTTCGAATTCCCATCACACTGAACATGCTCGCCCCTTCAGGCATGGGAGCATTATAAGTGATGGTCAATCCCAATATTCATTGGTAAAAGGGTAGCCCAAGAGTTGGCAGTGATGTTGACTAGTTGTCTTCTGTCTAATCTATCACTGCTGAATTAGAGACAGCTAGCACAGATAGCCCTCTATAGCTTTACATGAAATTCAAACCAAACAAACCACATTAGTAAAAGTGTAGTACATGCGTCTACAACTTTGTTACACCATGAGTCACATTTAAAGAGGGTTGGGTAGCTCTTTATATAATGAATGAACTACATACTGTTGAGAATGTAGTCATTAACTGGTAGTCATGAGGGAGAATCTGTATAGGTTACAATCATGGGTTTCGAGGGTAGAAAGTTTTAGATTGGCAATATAATTCACCTGGTCAAGCATGTGATGTCAAAGAGAAATTATGTAATGAGATAAGGCTTGTTATTTATCAGAATACTGAAGCTATAATTATGGGAGACTTTAATTTTAGAAACATGAATTTGGAGTCTACAGAGTCAAGTAATGAGAGAGGGAAATTATTGATGTGATCAGCATGGTTCTCTATAAGAAATACTTAGAAAGACAACCAAAAGGGATGCGATTTTTATTTATTGTTAACTATTGCAAGCCTTTAAGTAGAGGAATATATGGTTTATTTGTTAGTTGCATTTCGTGCAAAGCTGCATAAATGGCTACCTGAACTAGTCATCCCTAATCTTGAAATGATAGACAAGTGGGAAGTCAGCTAGTAAATACAACCCACCCAGTGCCAGATTATCCAAGCATAGGCCTCTAATCTCACTGTATACTTTTTACATTACAACCTTATCAACGATAAAATTTATCACAAAACTCAGCTATATGAAAATTAATATTGTTACATCTCTATTCGTTTGTTAATTTTTCGTAGAAATTCTTTCTGGGAAACTTCAGCAATACAAGTCCTTTCTTAACTAAAACTAATTTATTATTTCTTGTTACAAATTTTGTAATGCACTTAATTTCCACAATGACTTTAACTTAAACACACACTATAATTTACAACGATTCACACAATTTACTTATGGTCACTACTGCTCAATTGACTCAATTATCTGTCTCTATATCTGTCTATCTGCGATTATATATGCTGTCACTCTTCATCTCTGCTTTATTTGCCAGGCTTATATACAAAAATAGAGGACATCTGGCAAACACTAGAGTTGCCAGGAGCAGTCATGATCCTTCTAGAAACTCATGACATGTTACCAGTGTCACGTGACTTCCGCTGTCATAACATTATATATATTAACCCAATTCTGCAGATAGAATAAAAAACACTTTATTTAACGTGACCTTTCTGACAAGTATTTTGGGGGAAAAGTAACGAGTTGTTATGTCTCTGGTCGTTGGTTAATTTTCCGTAGAATTTTTTGTCAAAAACTTCAGCGATACAAGTCCTTTCGTAAATAAAACTAGTTTATTCTTTCTCAACACAACTTTGCAATACACTTAATTTCTACAGTCACTTTAACTTAAACACACGCTATAATTCACAATGATTCACGCACTTTACTTATGCTCACTACTGCGCTTGACTCAATTGTCCATCTCTGTCTCTGCCTGTCTGCAATTTTCTATTCCATCACTTCTTGCTGGTCTTATATATACAAATTAGAAGGCGTCTGGCAAACACTCGAGCCTTCAGGAACGTTCTAGATACTCATTACGTGTTACCAGCGTCACGTGACTTCCGCTGTTTTAACAGAGTGGTCCGATATTTTTTCTAATTTTAAGTAAGTTAGCACTTAATAGTAGTGATCGACAAGGATTCCAAATAATTCACGCGCCGAAAAACTACCCTATCGAATTCCTAAGCGAAAAACCGACCATTCAAAGTATTTGTTACGATATATTATGAACATAAATACTAATAATACACCAAAAAAAGTCGCAAACATTTCTTGTATAACAAATCAGAATTTTTTGAAACAGCAGATTTTTCATCTACTACCTATCTACCTGATCATGTGAGTGGGGCTAGTGCTTAGACAATTCTGGATGGATAAAAATGCGACTGTTTCTAAAGGTAAAGTATTGTTGCGTCAGCGAGTCACTTGACCACGTGACGCAACGTTTCTAGAACTATCATGTACTTTGTCGAATGTTCAAGGTCTTACTAGAAATAGGTTACGCTGGTATAAAAGCGGGGAATGTAATGTGTGGAGATAGATAGT